ATTATGTCATTTACAATAAAATTAACCACCTGTTGATTTATTGGCTAAGACATAACCACATATTAGCTGTAAAAATAACCACCTGTAAATGTGCTATATTAGGGCCATATGTGTATGTGCAGTATTATCTATAAAAATTAACAACCTGTGAATTTTGCTATATAAATAATCACTTGTTTATGCACACTATTTTCTATGAAAATTACCATCTGTTATAGTGCACTATTATAGCGTAAAAAACCTGCTGATGTACAGTATTGCATATAGAATATACACCTATCCTTGTACATTATTAAAATAATAACCTGGTGATCATGCCTTTTAATGACAGTACTGCATTAATATCACCCACTTTCACTGTGAATATTCACAGTATAAAGATGCAATTTGATTGTTCTAGGAAAAGCTATGTTTACGAAATAGCAACTGGAAATTTGGAGGAAGATGTAGAAAGAGAAGAAAGTAGAATTTTGAGAGGAGACTCGGATGATGTCCTTAAACTAGAGAACCTAACTAAGGTATTACCACATTACATGGGAAATGTACTTTACTAGTTTAAGCATGTTTATTACTTCGTGGTGACGTTCCAGGATTAGCCAGTACTGTATCAGTTTGATGGACAGTTACTACATTAATATAGCCACTTATTTTTTGCTGGCCAAATAGTTTTATTTACACCTAAGTGATGCGAGAAATTTGAATTAATGCCTAAAGCATGCTGGGAAATGTGAATGTTCTTCACCTTGAAGCCTCTCTCTGAGATTAGACTAAAAGTACGCCCTCAACATGATTATTTGTGCATATTATCACTGATAATAATCTGTGTATATACACATGTTAAATATGTTATGCATAACTTTTTACTGAATATAACAATGTACATTGATTACTTCTCTGATTATTGTAGGTTTATAAAAAGGGATCGTCAAACTTGGTTGCTGTTGATAGATTGTCTTTTGGAGTTCCCCAAGGACAGGTTTGTGGCAATTATTGAATTGAAATCAGTTTTCTGTGTAAAATTTCCTTCTTCTCAGTCATCATCAATATACATAAACCCGTCTTCAGAGATGTATAATAATAAATACATAATCAATATTCATATACCGGTATAGAAGCTGTCAGCAAAATGAAAATGTCGCTGTTTTTGTTTGCAAAACCATAGAGGGACTGTGACAAAACATGATGGTAGTGACAAACTCGACATTTTTGTATTTGTCACTGATATGAATTTCCTAGTTTGTAGGTACAATGATTAACACAATACAACTTTTCATTATATGTATGTATTCTGTAATTGTAGTTACATCATTTTGTTGAAAGACTTTTAGTAATCCACTTTCATTTATGTTCTCACTAAATTACTATCATATATGACTATGACACTGTAATGATTTACTAGAAAAACTCCTTGTCATAAATATCCGCAATACAATCCTATTGTATTCTGTTGACAACACATATTGTTTCCATTTCATCCAGTGTTTTGGATTACTTGGTATGAATGGTGCTGGTAAAACAACTACGTTTGGACTTTTGACTGGTGATCTACCAATCACATCGGGTGATGCTTATCTTCATGGATACAGGTAAACAATCCACCATTGTGTTTAGTACCTGTTCGGATGCAGTTCGAAAATAAAGACTTTTGTGTCTGGAACCATTTACACAATGAAATACACCTGTATTTGGCTGAAAAAAAGGACCACAACTGGGCTACCGCACTTTGGATACCCCAGTTGTGGCCGGTTTATTCAAAAACCCTAACTATTTGGGTAAAGTGAACAAAATGCTTGAATAAGCGAAAAAGTTATTGAAAAATCTTGAATACAATGTAACATATCAAGTTAATTGAATAAACAAAGTTTTTCTAAAATCCCTAACTCTTGACTAAAAGTAGCAAGTCAAGTTTGTTGAACAAATG